TACCATAAGATGAAATAATATTAGAGTAATTGGGATCCCAGAAGAAGGAGAAAGAGAGAGAGGGGCAGAAGGTATATTGGAGCAAATTATAGCAGAGAACTTCCCTAATTTGGGGAAGGAAACAGACATCAAAATCCAGGAGGCACAGAAAACCCCCTCAATATCAATAAAAATAGGTCAACACCCCAACATCTAAGAGTAAAACTTACAAGTCTCAGAGACAAAGAAAATCCTGAAAGCAACTCAAGACAAGAGGTCTGTAACCTATAATGGTAAAACATTAGATTGGCAGCAGACTATCCACAGAGACCTGGCAGGCCAGAAAAGACTGGCATGATATATTCAGAGCACTAAACGAGAAAAATATGCAGCCAAGAATACTATATCCAGCTAGGCTATCACTGAAAATAGGAGAGATAAAAAGCTTCCAGGACAAACAGAAACTAAAAGAATTTGTGATCACCAAACCAGCCCTAAAAGAAATATTGAAAGGGGTCCTCTAAGCAAAGAGAGAGCCTAAAACTAACACAGACCAGAAAGGAACAGAGACAATATACAGTAACAGTCACCTTAGAGGCAATACAATGGCACTAAATTCCTATCTTTCAATAGTTACCCTGAATGTAAATGGGCTAAATGCCCCAATCAAAAGACACAGGATATCAGATTGGATAAAAAAACAAGACCCATTGATATGCTGTCTGCAGGAGACTCATTTTAGACCCAAAGACAACTCCAGATTGAAAGTGAGGGGGTGGAAAACCATTTACCATGCTAATGGACACCAAAAGAAAGCTGGGATGGCAATCCTTATATCAGACAAATTAGATTTTAAACCAAAGTCTATAAGAGATGAGGAAGGACACTATATCATAATTAAAGGGTCTATCCAACAAGAAGATCTAACAATTGTAAATATCTATGCCTCTAACCTGGGAGCAGCCAATTATATAAGCCAATTAATAACAAAAGCAAAGAAATACATCGACAATAATACAGTAATAGTAGGGGACTTTAACACCCACCCCCCCACTGAAATGGACAGATCATTTAAGCAAAAGATCAACAAGGAAATAAAGACTTTAAATGACACACTGGACCAGATGGACTTCACAGATATATTCAGAACATTCCATCCCAAAGCAACAGAATACACATTCTTCTCTAGTGCCCATGGAACATTCTCCAGAATAGATCACCTCCTACGTCACAAATCAGGTCTCAACTGGTACCAAAAGATTGAGATCATTCCCTGCATATTTTTGGACCACAATGCTTTGAAACTAGAGTTCAATCACAAGAGGAAAGTTGGAAAGAACTCAAATACATGGAGGCTAAAGAGCATCCTATTAAAGAATGAATGGGTCAACCAGGAAATTAAAGAAGAATTTAAAAAATTGATGGAAATAAATGAAACCTAAACCAGCAGGAGAAGAGAAATAATAAAGATCAGAGCAGAAATCAATGAAATAGACACCAAAAGAACAGTAGAACAGATCAACGAAACTAGGAGCTGGTTCGTTGAAAGAATTAATAAGATTGATAAAGGCCTGGCCAGACTTATCAAAAAGGAAAGAGAAAGGACCCAAATAAATAAAATCATGAATGAAAGAGGAGAGATCACAACCAACACCAAAGAAAAACATACAGTTATAAGAACATATTATGAGCAACTATATGCCAGCAAATTAGACAATCTGGAAGAAATGGATGCATTCCTAGAGACATATAAACTACCAAAACTGAACCAGAAAGAAATAGGAAACCTGAACAGACCCATAACCAGCAAGGAAATTGAAGCAATAATCACAAATCTCCCAACAAACAAGAGCCCAGGGCCAGATGGCTTCCCAAGGGAATTCTACCAAACATTAAAAGAAGAATTAATACCTATTCTTCTGAAACTGGTCCAAAAAATAAAAATGGAAGGAAAACGTCCAAACTCATTTTATGAGGCCAGAATTACCTTGATTCCTAAACCAGACAAAGATCCCATCAAAAAGGAGAATTACAGACCAATATCTCTGATGAACATGGATGCAAAAATTCTCACCAAAATACTAGCCAATAGGATCCAACAGTACATTAAAAGGATTATTCACCACGACCAAGTGGGATTTATTCCTTCATCAAGATAAAAAGCTTAGCACAGCAAAGGAAACAGCCAACAAAACCAAAAGACAACTGACAGGATGGGAGAAGATATTTGCAAATGACATATCAGATAAAGGGCTAGTATCCAAAATCTATAAAGAACTTATCAAACTCAACACCCAAAGAACAAATAATCCAATCCAGAAATAGGCAGAAGACATGAACAGACATTTCTGCAAAGAGGACATCCAAATGCCCAACAGACACTTGAAAAAGTGCTCAACATCACTCGGCATAAGGGAAATATAAATCAAAACCTCAATGAGATACCACCTCACACCAGTCAAAATGGCTAAAATTAACAAATCAGGAAACGACAGATGTTGGCAAGGATGTGGAGAAAGGGAAACCCTCTTATACTGTTGGTGGGAATGCAAGCTGGTGCAGCCACTTTGGAAAACAGTATGGAGGTTCCTCAAAAAGTTGAAAATAGAGCTACCCTACGACCCAGCAATTGCACTACTGTATTTACCCCAAAGATACAAATGTAGTGATCCGAAGGGGCATGTGCAACCCAGTGTTTATAGCAGCAATGTCCACAGTAGCCAAACTATGGAAAGAGCCTAGATGTCCATCAACAGATGAGTGGATAAAGAAGAGTGGTATATATATATACAATGGAATATTATGCAGCCATCAAAAAAATATGAAATCTTGCCATTTGCAATGACATGGATGGAACTAGAGGGTATTATGCTAAGCGAAGTAAGTCAATCAGAGAAAGATAATTATCATATGATCCCAGTCATATGTGGGATTTGAGAAACAAATAGGGAAAGGAAGGGAGGGAAAAATGAAATAAGACAAAACCAGAGAGGGAGACAAGCCATAAGAGACTCTTAATCTCAGGAAACAAACTGAGGGTTGCTGGAGTGGAGGGGGGTGGGAGGGATGGGGTGGCTGAGTGATGGACATTGGGGAGGGTATGTGCTTTGATGAGTGCTGTGAATTATGTAAGACTGATGAATCACAGACCTGTACCCCTGAAACAAATAATACATTATATGTTAATAAAGAAAAAAAAGAATCATTTATTCAGCCAGGTAAATAAGAATTCCCTAAATTCTACAATGCTAGAAGAAAGAAGAGCAAAATGGTCCTTAGCCCAACTATACTCCAAGAAACAAACATGCAAGAATTTTGAACATGCAAAATTTCAGAAATGTTGCTCCCAAGGGACTTCCTCAGGAATCTATGAAAGATGACTCTCATCCAATGAGATGATAAAAAAATAACAAACTTGCCAACAATGTACACTCCTGTTGGAAGTAAGTCTTCCCCTACTGGACAGTGGGGCCTTCAGACGACTATACCTTTGGACAGCTTGACTGCAACTTCACAAGATACCCTGATTCACAACCTCCCAGCTAAGCAGCTCCTAGATTCCTTAATTGCAGAAACTGTGATACAATCATCATTTGCTGTTTTAAATTGCTAAATTTTAGAGTAACTTGTTATGCAACAATAGTTAAGTATAAAACATGGCTTAGAGAGAACTGAATTTGAAGAGGTTGGAATACTAGAAAATAGGAAGAGGATTTTTAAAGAGAGTAGTTTGTGTGCTGTGCATCCCACCATCCCCCCTGGGGAAGAAGGATGGATGGCACCATCTTCAAGCACAGTGACAAGGCCTCCAGCAAAGCATCGGGGATTGACAGATGTTCTCTGGTTTGACAGAACAAGATTCACGCTAGACCCGTGCCCGGAAACGACTCAAAGCAAGAGGCTGTGGCTGTGTTGCTGCTGAGGGTAAGATGGTGTTGGCTACACTGAAAATGGCCTTCATGCCCAGAGTTTGACAGGGAAAAGACAAACACATGTTTTTACAGACAGATGTGGGCCAAATGAAAGAAAAGGCCAGCTGGGGGAAATCTCAGAGTGATATCTATCAAAAATGACACAGGAGAGAGCCATAGATATCAACAGTAAGAAACCACAGTGGGTGGACCACCACAAGTAGGAGCTTCAAGAGAGGACACAGTCGTCTCATTAAGGAGCCGCAGGTGACACATCCCAGTGAATGAAGGGAACTCCAAAGAACCCAGAAATATGCCCTAAGAAAAGGAGGCAACATATTTGATATGGCCAATAGAAAATAAGAACCCCACCTCTTCCCTGCAGGAGAGGGAGCCATAGCTAGAACACTGGGAATAAGAGGCTAAACACAGGTTGAGAAAACCAGGAATGCAGCTGACACAGTGCCGCCTCCACACCCAGGCAGAAGCAGAACAGAACAGGGGGAAGGAGAAACTTTAACATTAGAGAGCTTCAGAGTTTTGATTATTACATGGAACTGTAATTAATTACCAAAGGGGAACCTTGTGTTCTGCTCTTTGACATGTGGCTATATGATTAAAACGAATTTTTTTATTTAAAACTAATAAAAATAACAGTATTCCATATCATCCCAATAGATATCATACAATTATCAGCACAACAGAAGTTTTATAATTCTAAAACAGACCTTCAAACTTGGACTCCTACTGACTTGTAACATAATAGGGTAGCTACTAACTCAAGCCTTACCAGTTGAGTAAGAAACCAGCTTTTAGAACCAAACTGCCGTATAGTATAGCATACTACACTTGTTCTACCAAGTATGAGCTTATACAGACTACCCTAAGGAATATATTATAAACCATTATTAAAACAACTGATAAGCCCTGATTGGAATATAGCTAAAAATTAAGAACCTTCATTCATTTGAGAAAAGTGCAACATACCTACAACATAGAGTTGGCTTCCATTTTTCTTTTTTGTCCTAATATCAAATATTCATTGGTGCAAAAAAAACTTTAGATTTCTTAATTATAAAAAAAAATATAAAGAAGATTTGGCAACACTACCTCTGAATATGATACTCTCAATTACAGCAATGTAATCTTGGGGCTCCTGCTCAGTAGACATCTCCCATCTGCCTCCAGCGATATTTAGTAATTTGTAGAGCTGATCTGAACTCGTCACCCCACACAGCAGAGTAACCACACTTTCTGGTGAATGAAGTACCTTTTCCAGAAACTGACATTTCCTTGGAGTTAGGTCTTTAAGCAGGCCATTTGATAATATCAAAAGTTTACATTTGTAAGAGTTTAAGCTCAGCAATTCCAAATCCCAAAAAGAGTAATTCTCCAAGCGATATAACAGGACTGCTTCCCTTTTCACAACATGTAAAAAAACTTCCGTCAAGTACAGAGCCCATTCCTCAGCATCTTCTTCATATATCATTATGATGTCTCTTGTATTTTCTGGAAAAAGAGAAAATAGTGTATTAATTTTCTTATGTTTGAAATGCTAACAGCAGATTATATTATTAATCTCAAAAATTTTTATGTATTCTCTAGGGAGTATGTTACTTTTATTATGCCAGAGACCAATAATATAATTCATGTTATCCCCATTATGAAATCACACAGGATTAAAGTAATCCTGAAGGTCAACACAGTTCATGCTTTGTGCGAGTCTACACTGTACTCATTGTACCAGAGTGAACCAGGATGCTCAACCCAAAGAGAGAAGTTTCATGGTAAACTAAAAAGAATATTTTGTGGGATTATAGGAGCTAGGCTACCAGGTACAGCTGTGCCAGTGACCACAAAATTTACCTAGATCACAGTATTTAACTCCTTTGAGCTATTGTTTCTTCTTCTACTAAATGACGGTAAAAGTAAATAAATAAATAAGCCCTACCTAAGGAATTAGATTGTTCTGTGAAGATATGAGAGAATTTTCTTTAAGGAACTTTCCAATCTTATTAAAGATGACTGCATAAAGACAGGTGACAGAATTTCCATGCCCAGAATACTAACAAAACAAAAATTTTAAAAAAGAAATTCAACAGCAGAAATGAAATAAAGGGGGTATTATCTTCTGTCATAAACTAAGTTTCAGGCTGATGAGATAATTAAAAGGTTCTGATGGGACAACACTAATCCTAAACCTCTCTCTGACCCCATAACCAATTCTGATAAAGAAACTTGACCCATCACCAAAACCACCAGGGTGCTTATGCATCTCTTCCCCATTCGGAAACTAATCACGAGATGTCTGCAGAAGTAGGAAGACTGTCAGGACTCTCCACAAGCCAGGGCTCACAGCTGAGTCAGGAAAGCCAGGCAAATCCCACAGGAACTCAAGTGCATCCTTGGGCAGAGGAGAGGGGCCTCGCAGACATTTAACAGGTCTCATTAGGACTACAGCCCAGGACCTCCAACCCAAGACACTTTGCTTCTTCTCCCCTTTTCTTTCAGGTTATAAAAAAGTAACTGGAATATAGATTTTTGTCACCTAAACTGTAGCTTGAAGGGAAAAATAAAAAGTAGCAAAAAAGATGGGGAGGGGAATTTAAAGAATCATTTGTCCACACTATATTAAGCATACAGAAAGCCTAAACGGAGCTAAGAGAAACACAAGCAAAATGAAAAGATTAACAATATAAATTTGTAGTTGTGGGGAGAGATTAATGCAAATAATAGTAATAATATGATCATAAAAATAATGAAAGTAACATAGCATGCAGAGACTAGTAGAAATCATAAGCAGGAAAGAAAAAAACTCCAAAAAAATTGCCTATAGTATAAAAAGACCTGAGATTAAATAAAATCAGAGTTCAAAGACAAGTTTATTTAACTTTTTAAAAAAAGTATCATTTAAAAGTATATAAAAGATAAGGAGACAAGTTGAGCCAAAACAGTACCATTACCCAGATAATATAAAAATTAGAAAAAGCAATAGCTGGTTGAACACAGATAATATTTTAATTTCTGGACGAAAAGAAAAGCTTGATATTTTCATAGTAAATGCAGAAAAGAGAACAATGTTATAGCAATTGGGAAAGATATGATATATCTGGGTAAGAGACAAAAAAGAAAAAGACTCAATAAGAAGACAATCTAAAAGCTAAAGTAGAAGAGAAAATATTTTAAAATATAACTTTAAAAATCCTTAAAATATGAAAGAAAAAGGAACCAGTTCCATGTATCAATGGGGCATTATCATGTTCTAAGAAAAATTGTTAAGGGAAAACCTATCTTGATTAAATTAACCTTAGTTTAATGATTATTATACAATGTCTTCATGTGTTCAGGAAGGAAGAGCAAGTCACCCAGGAGGAGGAAAATATTAAGTTAGTCAAAGATTTCTTCAGAGCAATTTCAAGCTCAGGTTAGAATGAATTATAAAAAAGTTCTTACAAAAATAATTTTCTAGCATATTCATATTATAGAATATTGTATAGCAGTGAAAATGAACCACTGCTACATGCAACATGGATAAATCCAAAGACATAAGATGGGGTGAAAGAAGAAAAAGAGTGTATACTGCATGATTGTGTTTATATGAAGTTCAAAAACAGAAAAAAAAAATCCATGGTGATACAAATAGAATATCTGGGCATAGGATTAATGAATGAAAGTTGGCATGGGAGAACCTGCCGGGATTCTGGAAATGTTCCCATCTGGGTCTGAATGTCTGTCACACAAAGTATATATATATATAAAATTTATTTATCTGTATATCTTAGATTGTGTGTGTAAATTATTCTGCACCAAAAAAGTAAAGTATCAAAAGAAAGAAGAAAGATCCATGATGACAGCTATGCAAGAGGCCTAGAGACCAGCAGGGAGTTATAATAGGTGATAATTATAAGGGAGAGAGAGCCAGAGCACATTACAGGAAACCACAGATACTAGTTAGAATTAGTAAATCAAGAAGCTGTAGTATAGATGTATCTTTTCGAAACATGGAATAGAACAACAAAAAGGAAAAATTTGGAAGAACTACGGTTCTTGAGGTTCTATGGGGAATGGAATTGTCTTTGGTGAGCGGGAGAGTAGAGGACTGCTGGTTTTCATTACAGATGTTTTATCATTGTTCAATATGCAAGTGTAACCATAATCAAAATTTAAATAACAAAGGAAAATACAGGCTACAAATAGAAGAACCAAAGTAAACAAAATGGAAATGTAAGAAGTTTGAAAAAAGAACACATGATAGGTTGAATACAAGTACATACAGAACAAAGACAAAATATTGAGGGGATTACGATTGCACTACAAAATGCAGATGTTAAAAATCTTGATGAAATAAAAGTACACAGGGGATAGGAAAGCTGAGCATTTGAGGAAAAAATAGTATAAAATATTAACCTCATCATTCATAGAATTTAGTCATTTAATACCTCCTAAATTTGAAATATGAATTTAAAAAATGATTCCATTCTCTCACTATTTTTTGTATCATTTTCCCTAAACAATAATAATTTAGAGAGTATTCCAAGTAAAGATTTTTGTCTGAAAATTAACGTCTTTCAATTTTACTTTATATTAATTTATTTAAAAATAGCATGTAGAATATAATCTCATTTTTAAACAATCACTCCGTGAGCATCTGCTTAAAATAATTTTATTGATTGTTAGCAACAGTTATCCATGAAAGACAGGACCGTGAGAGATATATTGCTTTCTTTTTAAAAAAACTCTTCCAGGGGCACCTGGGTAGCTCAGTCAGTTAAGCATCTGCCTTCAGCTCAGGTCATGTCAGGGTCCTGGGATCCAGCCCAGCCCCATGTTGGGCTCCCTGCTCAGCGGGGAGTCTGCTTCTCCCTCTCCCTCTGCCCCTCCCCACTGCTTGTGCTCTCTTGTTCTGTCAAGTAAATAAATAAAATCTTAAGAAATAAAAGTAAATAAATAAAAAATTAAAAACTCTTCCCATATTGCTTATATTTCTGTAGTAAACCTGTATTATTTTATAAAACAAAATAATCATCCTTAAAAATCAGTGGTAAGGTATTATCATGAATACAAAGAGCAAAATACCAAAACCTTTGTAATCCACCATTATCTTTTTTTTTCCTCTGGATATAAAGCTTGTATTTTCTACAACACTGATGGGCCAATTAATACTATAATGATTTTGAGAGCTATTGTATTTTTATTGAATTATCTATGTCTTTTCTCATGATATAAATATCATCTCCAAGGACAGATGCTTTCTCTTTCAACTCTGATTCCTAGACAATGCCTACCACAATTTCTTGAACAGGTATTCAGTAGATTTTTTAATATACTTATATGTGCAGAATGAAAATGACATCTGGCAGAAAACACATGGGAATCATATACAAGTTGTGTATGAGTCATCAGGGTAGTTCTGTTATTCTCTGTGAGGTTTCTCAGCCAGCCCTGATGCTAAATAAATACTTGTTGAACAAACACAAACGTGGTGCCATAACTCAGTATTTTTATGTTTGAGAAAGAGCAGACAAAGAGCTTTCTTTCTATTATACATAACCAGGGTTAGCTACTGCATGGTTATAAAATAAAGAGTAAAGATAAAACTAATAATGTGAACCATCAAGTGCTTCAAATAAACTAGGACTCTATGTGTTTTACATATATCATTTTACTTCATTCTCAAAATTACCCTATTGAGTAGGTTCAAATATTATTGTCATTTTACAGATGGGAAAACGGAAGTGGTATTAGAATTAGGATTCCAGTGCAGGCAGTCTGTCCCTACCGCCTATACTTTAACCTCTAACAGCAAAGGACACAATAACATTATTTAAAAGATTAAGACAGATTCTTCATAGTGATATGAGTTGAGTTAGTCAATATTTAGCAGCCTATGAGTTAATGTCAAGTATACAAAGCATGTGCAAGCTTACTGGGACTGGTTCCCACCAAAGAGAAAGAGGAAATAGAACATACCATGTACTCCAGGAGTATGGTTATCTATGAAGAACTTCTAGAACTATCTTCTTGACTCTAAAACTTAAATCAATAAAATTACAGAACAAGGTTTGAGGATATTTGAAAGTACAGAATGAGGGGCACCTGGGGGCTCAGTCAGTTAAGCATCTGACTCTTGATTTTGGCTCGGGTCATGATCTCAGGGTTGTGAGACTGAGGGCTCCATGCTCAGTGCAGAGTCTGCTTGTCCCTCTCCCTGTGCCCCTTGCCCCACCCCCTCTCTAAAGCAAACAAACAAACAAACAAAATCTTTAAAGTACAGAATGAATATTTCCATGTTATGTAGTTGGGTATCACACTACCATAGGAAATCAATTCTAAAGACAGTCATAACTTATCTTTCAAAACTTCCCAAGAAAAAGTAGATAGGTAGTCTTTCTCAATACTCTATGGCCATTTTATTCTTGGGTTGAAATTGAGCCTTCTTTTTAAATTTATATTTGACTTATAGTCAATAAGCCCTGTATGACAATTTTCAAAAGCCTAAGATAAGCATT